TCTAATGTTACAAAATTATGTAAAAATATATCACGTTTTTGGAAACAAGTGAAAATAATACTTTTTTAAATTTATTTTTGTGTATAACCGTTCAAATTCAATATCAAATAAAAGAATGTTATAAATTCCAAAAACTTAAGTTTTTTTCCTAAGTTTGTTGTTTGTTATGTGCATCAAATCTCAAAATGTAGGTCGCTATCTTTTTTCTTCTCGATTTCCTCTGTAATTTCTTATATAACTGCAGCGTGACTAATAATAACTGTATTAAAAAGAAGATAATGGCTACTTACGTGTAATACTGATGCACAAAAAGTAAAAACGAGTTTTTAATAATAACATAAATAAAGGCTATGCACAGTTACATACTAGAAGCTTTTAATGAATAGTTGCGATTTCTACACATTACTCTGAAATAAAAAATAACAAGTCGTACTTATGATTTAGTAGATAAGTAGATACATGCCAGTTTTGTGTAAAGCACTTTCACTGAGTCGCAGGCTTATTTTTTAATGCTTATAACTTTTTTATGACGAATTAATGTTCCGTTAAATAATAGGAAGCGTCTACTCTTCCTGCCGCCGAACTACTTCAGTTCGATTTCGACAATTAAAAATGTCGGTTTGTCGAAGTTGGAGTTCCGGAGAAAACTGTGAGGAAGTTATTTAGAAAAAATTATATACATATAAAGGAAGAATGCTAAAAAATTAATGTAATATGTTTAAAAAATATACGATGCATAAAAATGGTATATAATAATAATAATAATACCCACACTGTTTTGACCTCCTGAATTTGAATTTAAAGTTGATTTGTGGCAGTCGAATACCCTTTTCCGGAAAATTACAATATTGATATGTTAAATATACAGGGTGGGCCACCAGTAACGCCTTGGTCGCTAGGGACCAAACGGCAAATGTTATAGAAACCTGTTTAGGTAGGTACGTGTAGGTTGATTACGGCTACATTTTAAAAATATTTTGAAATATACAGGGTGTCCAGGAAAAGCGTACCATATCAAAGTTATGTATTTTTAACCCGAACAAAATGTATTTTACTGCATTTTTTAAAGCACCGTAGAAAAATATTAACTTTATTAAAGGTTCTGCATACCTAGGACTTACTGTTTGTGAGATATTTTAATTTTAGTGAAAATACAAGGTTTAGCGTAGAAATTTAATATTAGTAATAGAAAAAATAATTGTAAGGAAGCAGCTTTTAGAGTATATTTTAGATCCTTGAAGTTATAAATTAATATATTTGTCGTCACAGTATTATAAAGGGTGTTCAAAAAATTGCTAAATACTTCTCTCAACTTTAAACAGCAATAACTTGATTATTTTAAAAAAATTCGATAAAAAACGAAACTGTACAAATATCTACAATGCCGTTAGAGATAGGTTATTGCTGTTTAAAGTTGAGAAAAGTATCCAGCAGTTTTTTGGACACCCTGTATAATATTAAGTGATGACAAATATAATAATGTATAACTTTTCCTGTATATTTTTCTAGAAGTGTAACTTAAACAAATATAAATCGCGACCAAAGTAGGGACCCATGTCAGAGGGGACCCAAACTACTCTCTAAGAGAACCAGAAGGCTCAGCGCGGAAAATAACAATTTCGACTATGTTTCCAAAATTTCTGATGAAATTCTCTGCACGCTCTCACCTGTTTCAAACAGATAACATCGCCGGAGGCCGATCCTGTCGGCACAGCAGCCGCACTTCAAAGTTGAAAAAATCGCTCCTGTTTCGAATTTCGGAAAATATAAACCTTTCCGAAAACTGCGAAATTCGAACTGCAGAACTGCAACGTTGAATCACACTACCACGTTAGACTATTAAGTCCATGGCCCATCCAAGCGATTACAACCCAAAAATGGTCAAAATCCAGAGGGTCAATTGTCCAAACCTAAGGCGAACTTCACTACAGGATCTCTGCGGACCTATCGAGACATGTGATCGAAAGTCAACCCTGGCTACCTTGCAGATCAGTAATCGGAATCGGAAAATGGCCAGTACGTGCAGTACGACTCATAGTTTAAAGCTGCATTATATGAAATACTAAGAATTATATACTTATTTGTTGTAAATACATATTTTTCAATAATTCAAAACATAAGATAAAACATCTTGCAATGGTTTTCGAAAAAATATTTTCGTATTCGCTGCAACAAGCATCGCGCTTAACCCTTGATTCGCGGTACGCCCTCTCGCCCCACTAAAAGCCTTTCCAAATCGTACTTGGACACAGAATACCCGCGAGAGACCGCCGTTTCCAGCCGGATGACCATATTTAAATCCAATACCCGTGCCGCGTCGATAATTCGATCCGTCTAATGAGCTGTTCGCGAGGCATAATTCTCCGATATTTGTTACACTTGGCCACCAAAATGGAACAAAGATTGGAAAGGTACAACTCGGTCCACACTCGGCGAACAGTTGTGTTCGGTATTGCACGCAGAGTGCTTCAACGGCGACCATGAGCCTCGATGGTTTCTGCATGGGGGTGAAAATGTGCGGCTACCCTTTGGACGTGTTAGTATGGTTTATAGTTCAGTTCACGCGGGAGAGAATCACGCCGGGGTTCATTGAATGTGGTGCTGTAGCGAGAAGCTCGTGCTATTTTTCCAGAAAAAAGCATAATTTCATGTTTTGTAAAAAATTCAGTATACTCAGTCATATCTTTGTAGTGTTTGTTTGAGTTACGGAAAAGTACAAATATACAGGGTGTTCCTCTATAAACTATTCCTTATCAAAATTAACGCAAACGGTCTAATGACAAATAATCAATTCTGACAAACCTCAAACCTCTTGTTAATAATTATTGCATAATCCTACATTTTTCAAACTAAGAATTTATATTTTGCAAGAGTCCAAAGTCAAAAAAGACAGTTCTTCTCTGCGCAATATTTGTTTTTATCTGCCTCTAGATATGTATCTACTAATCATCAATATACGTGCACCAAATATAATACGATAATTGAATTGATACAGAAAATATTCTGAAAATACCATCCTAAACAGGACATCTTCAAGTTGTTATATCTTGAAATTGACCCTTAAATTTTTTTTGTCTTAATTTTGACCCTGTAGACCTTTGGCAGTTGAGTTAAGAGACACCCTGACATTTCTTATCCCAACGAAAATATATAGAGTGATTTGTAGATCACTTTGTTTAGCTGCTAGTAGTTCACAAAGAAGATTAGTTTTTTCCAAGTGACATTCAGACGCTTTGTACGATTTCAATATAATCTAAATATTTGTTACAGGCTCTTACAAATTTTTTAAATGGGGTCAAAGTTGCTTAATCAAGTGATCAACGTTATGCTCCTAAAAAATCAAGACTAACATGATTAGTTTTCGAAATATTTGAAAAAAAAACCGAAATTTTGGAAATCCGCTTTTGTTTAATTTCAGCTTTGTTTGAGGTCATATTGAAAAAAGAAAACACTTTCTCGTGGCAACTTTTTGCCCCCTTTCGAATGACATAATCAGTTTTTACATGTAACGTTTCATCTCTCCAGGACCATCATCAACTTCATTTTTTTAAATACGACCCTGGAAATTTTATTACATTTTTTGCAAGCCTTCATGACCCCCAATACTGTACTGTCTCAGCTCGACCCAGGTTCAGACGTTTTGTCTCTAAAAATTCATCTTCAATGTATTCGTTCCAAATTTATCTAATTTTTTTAAGATTTCTATGTTTCTTGAATTATCGTACACCCTGTGTCGTTAGACTATGAAAACGGATTTCCAAAATTTCGATTTTTTTCAAATATTTCGAAAACTAATCATGTTAGCCTTGATTTTTTAGAGGCATAATGTTGGTCCTTTGATTACGCAACTTTGCCCCCCTTGAAGCTACTTCGTATCTCTTACCATTTCCGAGATCCCTGTGGTAAAAAGTGAATTTGTAACATCCTGTATAGATGTCAGATTTTGACATAATATCCGAAATAATTGCATTTAGAGAATTGGGAAAAATATCCCCACTGCAAAGCAAATATTTCCAATTTTTTTGGCAGGTGCCCTTACAACTTCATTTTGCTATTTTAGCATAAAAGCAGAGGCAGTTTTTTCTCTTTTGTCAATTTTTTGTTTACTCGTTTTGTGTAATTTATTATTTTATTAGTTATCGCCCACATATTCTCGATACAAATCAGATAATCGAAAATTTGATTTATTTGATAATAAAAGCAAAACGACTGAGACATTTGTTTTTGCATGCTATTCCATGAAATTGATTAGAAATTGGCATCATTTTCAATAATACACAATTCAGTAAAAAATAATAATCGCACTCATTTCAGTACCTCCTCATTCTATGAATTATCTGCAATAGTTTCTCATCAAGTGGTCTAATTTAATGTTTTTCAAATAAGAATGATAAAAGATATTAAAATTTGATTTACAAAATGGGTAAAATATGAAATATGTGGAACAATTTTTTATTTTACTGAATTTCGTGTTATTAAAAATTGTAATTAGTTCCAATAATTGCCATGAAAGAATATGCTGTTAAAAGTTTGATTTTATTATCAGATAAATTCATTTTTTGGTGGTGATTAAATCAGATTTAAAAAAATTCATTGGTAATGACTAATAAAATAATTAATTGAAAACTATTAGGAGCAGAAAAAAATCTGTAAGAGAAAAACCTTGAAATAATCCTTAGATAAAATAAAAATTGAAGTTGTAACGCCTTTAAAATGTATATGAGCCCATTTGTTTAAGGAGGGGTATGGTTCCTATTTCTGCATAAATAATTTCCTCAATTTAGTTAAAAAGTGACTTTTCTACACAAGTACTAGCAGACCTATTATTGTTTAGCACCCTTTGGTATCATATTATAACAATTTATAAGTTAGTCAAAAAAATTGGAAAACCAAACTTCACATCCTCTTCCGAGGTATTCCTCTGATAACGATTAGTTTTTCTCTTGAATGATTTTGTGAAACATAAAGTTACTATCTTCTATTCGTATTTTTTTTTACAGGAGGAGACCGGCTTTCCCCGGATCCCTCACAGATTTACATCGCTTCAGGAAGACTGCTCATGGACATGACGGATCCAGCAGGATTGTGATGGTGCGAAAGACTGATCAAAGGACATTCGCTTCTGTTAAGAACGGAGAGGTAGGTGGATTTGTCCACGAAATACATGTAATTTAAGATCAGTTGAATGGAAAGATCAGTAAAATTGTAGAGTGAATAACAGATTGTTCAAATACCATTAAATTGGAAACTAACTGTTAGTCAAACTATTAAAAAGAAGTACAAAGACAAAGATCTTTAGATTTGTGCAACATTAAAAATGAAAATGATGTCGACACGAAAATTCTCTGGAATGTCACTCTCGTAGCATTTACAGTAACTCAAATCAAGCGAAGAGGACTGATTGTTTTCAGCACGAATTCTTCCCGAAGCGTAAAATATTGGCTTCATGGTGGCTTCTGTTAAAGAAGACGATTCGTCACGATGACTATCAGTTGTCTAATCGTAAATAATTTTAAAGTTTACAAAATACATATTTCGAATTGCGTAATTTTTGCAGTTATTTTGCAGTTAACATTTCGTAATCAAAGCTTTGAGATGACAAGAAATAATTCTATTTAAATATTAATCATTTAAATTCTTGGAATACGAGAACGCTGCATACTTTTATTGTTATTGTCATTGATTTACAATTTTTATCTTAATGCCATCTCGAAGTTTCTCATCTCGCTTCCTAATCTAATTACGTCCTTCACAGAAAATTGTTTGATGGTATGCGTTATCGGAGCTATTTACAGTGGATTTAGGACCTATTAGTCAGTATAATTTTTTAATATACAACACCACTTGTTCTCCACAACAAGATAAATTTTAGTAACTAAATAACAGGCGCCGATAAAATTAAACAAGGATTAAGTTGTACTCTCAATTAGGCACAATTGGCCCACAAGTTTGGTAACTGTATTAAAAATAAAAAAATCGCGGTTTGAAGTCAGTTGGTGTTTTACTACGGACAGATATTTGTAAGTAATTTTTTGTGTAGATAAAGTAACGGTATAAGAATCAAAATGGTTGATTTTGGTGTAGTGTGCGACAAATTTGCAGTTTTTTCGAATCAATTACTTCCATTTTCGACATCAATAAGATTAAAATTTTTAGAAAAGAAAATACATAAAACTAAGCTTTTGGAAATGATGTATATATTCCTAATCTATAAACTATAACACATATTTTTAATTAAAACAAATATTTCATATAACACCTTCGAAGTGTTAATACAGACTTTAATCTAAATAAAAATCAAAATTCCCATAATTATTTTCCAATATCAAACCTTATTATTCTTTTTCTGTTCGATAACACAGGCCGACAAAATTTCAAAAAAAAAATTCCAGAAATCAGACACTATGCTTCCGAAGGCATTTGGCGCGCTGAATCCGAATCTGGCCTCAGAATTGATCCATCACCCTAGGTTTCCGAGATATTCTAACCTAAAAGTGTAAAAAACACGTACTTTTGCTATATTCAAGGTTATGTAACTTGGCGAAAAAATTTTTTTTCTCAAAACTGAAAATATCATTGGAAACGACTATCTTTCCCCTTCAAAACGCATTTTTTTATTTGTAAAAAGCTTTATTTTTCGCGGAGATATCGTCGATTAAAGATGATCAGTATAGCTACCAGTTTTGAGAAAAAAAAATTTTTCGCCAAGTTACATAACCTTGAAAATAGCTAAAAAAAAGTGTTTTTTGCACTTTTAGGTTAGAATATCTCGGAAACCTAGGGTGATGGATCAATTCTGAGGCCAGATTCGGATTCAGCACGCCAAATGCCTTCGGAAACGTATTGTCTGATCTCTGGAATTTTTTCCTGGTTTCCTTCAAGTAAAAGAAAAAAAGAGACATGTATGGGCCCTAAGGGTAGTGGTACTGATGGCTTCCTTGAAAAACAACAAAATAAACTGAAATTTATCGGATTTCAGAACCTAATTAATTCTAGGTACACGACTTTTTGTCTGTAGAAAATAAACAAATATATTCTAGTTGCCTACTGCCTTGTAACGTCACCTATTGTGGACTGTTCTCTAGACCGTAACTTTAGTGTCATTGTTAACAACATTGGAATTTTATTCATTTATTTGGAAACAGTAGGTATAGTTAAACTGTGATTAAAAACCTGCGGCTTGCTTGGCTTTCACAACTACCTAATTCTTCCGACTTAATAGTCTCGAACGATTTTGGGAAAAAAAAATGTTACCTCACGTCTTCCGTGACTCACTGTACAAGAATATTTGGGCGAAACGCGATTTTGTACACTTATATCACACTTAATTTATATAATATATCCGTTTATACAAGGTCTAACAGCGACGGTATTGCGACAAAATAAAATAATTAACAAAAGAACCAAGAGATGAGGGTTCTACAAACCCTCAAATAAATTTTCATCTCTTCACTTTATCTCGTAAACATAAAAACACGTTGTTTACATCTAATGTAGAGCTAGTATCAACCTCGATGTAAGATTTAGGAACATTGGCGTGTGACGGACAACGCGTGGATCAATGCGACAGTAGCCAGAAAAACTTAACATCATCAATATCCAATTTATCACAACCTTTCAATCTGATTCTCTCCGCTATTAACTGTAAAAGCCTTCGTGATTACTTGGTTGGTTTTTGTGCCCACCCAGCAAATTATTAAGTCAATAGCATTAGCAAATTACTACGATAAATGTGTTTTTGTAAATTATAAACGGTATTCTACTGGCTACCAGCGCATATATAGAATAAAAATAAGAGAAAAAGCTGATAAGAACGAATATAGGTGGAAAATGACTTCTAAAGGGGACAGAGCCCCTAAAAGTCGCTTTTTCTAAATATCTCTGTAATTAGTGAAATTTTATGAATGATTATTAGATTTTTAATCTAATAGTCAAAGAATAATTTCCATATTTGAATCAGAGACGAAAATGTCAGTTTAGGGTGTTATATTTTGCTCTTGCTTTTTTTTGTTCGTAAACTTTCCTATAATTTGATCCAAAAATTAGAAATTGTAGACTATTTTACAGCAAAATGGTACTCTCTTGTCATTTCGGCACACTGCACCATCACAGGATCTGTGAACCGCCCTCGTCGTTCTCGGGCTAGGGCTCTGTGGGGGCGGACCCGCTTTCTAACACCCCGTAACTTATCTCGTTTTTCAGGAACCAAAATTGGAGACAATCACACGCGAAACCATCGAAACGTTTCGAGGACAAAGGACTGAATGTAAAATTACGACTGAGAAAAAGGACTACGAGGAAACCTGTCCGCCCGATCTGATTGAGGCCTTGACTGATAGAGTAACAAAAACTAGCAAGCGACCTAGTTTAAAGGTTAGTAGACGATTATACAGCGGGGATGTAATTAGATGATTAAGATTGCAAGGGTGGGTCACTGAAGGGTTAAAATTATAACAGACTTGTTCGAGTATCATCTACCAAATAATTAAATAATTAATTAATACAAAAATGACAACAAATTATGTTTTTTCACTCTTCTTTATTTTAGAAAAAAAAACAAATTTTCCTTCTCTGTCAGTTTGTCTAATATTAAACTGAATCCACACAACCATTTTTCAAATTCTTGCAAACAATTTGAGTTTGAGTACAAAAATTATGTAGTAGGTATGAGTCTGTTTGTTGAGGGAGGTTCAGTTCGACATTAAAAAATTAATTGCTCCGGGTAATGTTCCTTTTCTTTTAAGAAGAGAAATATAAAAATGGAATTTCAAATTGAGTGCCTTCAAGCTCACAATGAGTACCGCAGGAAACACGGAGTCCCTCCACTAAGGTTAAACAAAGAGATGTGTAGGCTTAGCCAGGACTGGGCCAATCATTTGATCAAGAAAAACGTTCTTCAACACAGCAATAATAGAGAATACGGCGAGAATCTGTTCTGTATCCAATCCACAAACCCCAATTTTTCGATATCTGGCAAAGAGGTCGTGGATAACTGGTACGAGGAAATCAAGTGCCACAAGTTTGGAGTAGAACCGAGTAGTTTGTCGTCGGGACATTTCACTCAGGTGAGTAACATAAAGAACATATTGCAGATTTAGTCATGAACAAAAAAACTGTATAACATTCATAGTCCAGTCACTGAAGACGAAAATAAAGTAAAAGCTCCCATTTTTTTCGGATAGCATGGATTTTCCTGAAAATTTACATACAAGCTCATCTGACCCCCCACTTCAAAAGTTATATTGTCTAGATGTGTGCTTTTTTCTATTTGGGGGTGAAAACTACCCTTGTACGAAAAAAATGCGAAAATCGCAGATTTACGTATTTTAAAGATTCAACTCATGTTCAAATATGTTGGATAAAGTTACATTTATGTTTTTTCTATAATTCATGACTTCCTGAAAATTATATGTGAGTATGATGATATAATTATTTTTTTTAATTTTATTGAATTTATTCTTAATATTTTTTTTATTAAATTTATATCAAATAAAAAATTTTTATATGCACTATAAATGGATACGTGTGTGTGTATGTATATTATTAAAATATTTACTCAAATCAGTTGACAAGTGCTCCAAAATACACAAAGATGATGGTAATTTACCTGCACCGAAAATTTTACCGAAAAAATGCGATTAATTTTTTTACCATAACTTTTGTAATTTTAAAGTTATAAATTTACTCAAAACACCATTTTGTAGGGAATATAAAGCACTTTAAGTTCTGTGATTTGAGCCCTTCGTTTTTTAGATTTGTAAGCTAAAAGGGCTCAGGAAAGGCAGTCTTGGAGCTTAGTTTTGAGCTTCTAACGGTCATAACTCAGTCAAATTTTGTCCTATAAAAATTTAAAAAAGCAAATTGTTCAGTAAGAAAAAAACCTACAATTTCTTATACTATCATTTTTTTTATGACTGTTAGTTTTTGAAATATTTTGAAAAAAGGCGATTTTTTAAAAAATTGAAAAATTTTATTCAAAAGTAAATGAAAATTTTGTTTAAATTTAGGCTTCTAAAATCGTTCAAATTCCCAGAATCTACTGTTAATACATAAATAAAGTAAATTGCGCTTATTTTTTTTTCGTCGGCATTAATTGTAATACCGATTTTTTTTCTCAGAAATCAAGACATTCATTTTATTTTGATTGCAACTTCATTAGTTTTCATGCTAACGACTTCTACCACCACTCAATTTAAAGGCCTTTTCAAGAACTTTAATAGGTTTTATATAAGTTTTCCCCGAAAAACCTTTAATTTTTCTGCTACAGAACGTTGAACGTTTCGATTATAGCTATTTTCGAAATAGACTTCAACTTCTGGGAGTCATAACTCGGGTTCTATACCGTCTACAAAAAAAGCAATCTCTTTGCTATTTAATTACCTTCATTTTTGCTGATGATCATTTTTTTGATAAAACTTGTAGTTTTTGAGATATTCGCGAATACATGCATTTTTTGGGCGAAACAAGGCGCAAATAACTCAAAAAGTATTAACTCAAGAAGGGGTGGCATCCACCCCTAGGGTAAAAGTACACATCGGCACTATATAACTTTTGTTTCTTGGGCTATTCCCTAGCTACAGTACAAATTTCACGTTAATCAAAAATGGATCCTACTTAAACAATGCAGACCACTTTAATTTTTACCAGGTAGAATGACCATTTGCCGAATGTTTCCTTTCAGGTGGTATGGAAGGATTCGAAGGAACTGGGCGTAGCCTTCGCCAAAACCGGTGGCAAAATCGTAGTCGTCGCCAACTACTCCCCGGCAGGCAACATCATCGGCCACTTCGCCGATAACGTTCCACCACCAGGAGGACCGCACACCAACAACAACCACATCGAACTGACAAACGGCATATCAAAGTTATCATTTAATTCCATAAAGGTAACCCACAGACTGGAACAGAACGTCACCGAGGGCAACTTCGAGGAAGATTTCCTCGACGCCCACAACACTTACAGGCGGAGACACGGCGTGCCACCCTTGAAACTGGAAAGAAAACTGTGCAAGTACAGCGAGGAGTGGGCCAAACACCTGGCTGCTAAGAACATCCTCGAGCATCGTCCTGGGAGTAACTACGGGGAGAACATATACTGTCTCTACTCCTCAGATCCAAACTTCACTGTGAACGGTCACACGCCGGTGGACACCTGGTATGAGGAAGTTAAACTGCATCCTTTTGGAAGAGAGCCCAGCAATCTCAAGTCTGGTCACTTCTCGCAGGTTATATGGAGGTCTAGCGAGGCCCTAGGTGTAGGCGTGGCTAAGAATTCGCAGGGCAGTATATACGTTGTCGCGAATTACTCACCTGCCGGTAATTTCGTGGGTCACTATATCGAGAATGTGCCTCCGGTAAAACCCGCTTTCTACGGGGAAGTTACTCGGGGAAGCAAAACTCGACGAGAGGAGGAGGAAGAATGCACAGAGGAAGATGTTCCGGACTATCAAGGGGAATTCAATCAGTTTGCTCTCGATGCCGTAAGGGTGCATAACGAATATAGGAGGAAACATGGAGTACCGGAACTAACGTTAAGTCTAAGGGTTAGTAGGACAGTTTTTATTTTATTTATATTGTCTTAAGTATTTGTTTATTTATTTATTGCTTACTATTCTGTGTCCCACACCAATATTTTCTCAATCAGTAGCTTCTATTAGGAGTCACTCCCAAACAAATACCGGTAATCCAAATTCGAAACATTGGTAAAGGTGAATTAACTGAATAGCTGTCTCTTCAATTTCAGCTCTGCCAATTCGCCCAAGAATGGGCAGACACCTGCGCCAGGACGGCGAGCTTGCAGCACCGGGCCAACTGCCCCTACGGTGAGAATATCTTCTCGGTTTACTCTTCCGATTTCAGCCACATGCCGACTGCCCGAGACGCCGTTAAAGAGTGGTACGACGAGGCGAAGCAGCACAATTTCGGCGTGGAAAGAGTCAACCAAGGTACTCTCCACTTCACCCAGGTGGTGTGGAAGGCCAGCAGGGAACTGGGCATAGGCATAGCGAAAAACAAACGGGGTCAAACCTACGTGGTGGCCAATTACGATCCCAGGGGTAATTACATCGGGCAGTTCGTAGAGAACGTGCCGAGACCGAAGCCCTGATGGTTGAGGAAACCCAAGAATGTACCTAATTTTACCTTATAGTACACCAAATATTCTAACATTCCATTTTTCATGCCAAAGACGTGGTGCTGTTAATACGTACATTCCCATAGTCGATATCCCCATGTGTAGCATATCATGATAGTCCAGAATCCAAAGCATATCCTTCTAATAAGCCGATGGAAATATTTTTCATTTTTTTTATCGAAACGTCAATTTAAAAAATGTTGGCGCGTACAAATTGATGATACTGATACTTTAAAATAGCATGTAAGTATTTAAGAATTAGAAAAAAGTGAAAAAACAAAATCACAGTTTATTAGTAAGCATTTTTTGAACGTAATACTCTAACAGGTAATCTAATACAGGTATAAGTCGAATAAACACAGAGATAAATACTGCGGATTCAGGACTATACATTCATGGAACCATTTATTCTTTCAGAGACGATACAACACTGCATTTTAAATGAACACGACAATTGCGAGATTAGGGTACAACGAAGATACAAATCCTTAAATGCTTTATAGGGATCATTACAAGCATATAGTCGAACACAAAGTTGCTAGTACCTACTATTTGAAGTAAAATTAACTACTTATGTGTTCAGTTGTTGAGGTTGTCTCATCTTAGAAATTATGATTTGGATTTGTTTGAACAATTTTAAACGGGCGTAAGTGATTCCAATTCGTCTAGTTCCACAAATTTAACAATATATACTTAAGACTTACTTCATGCGATGATATTCAACATAGATATGTATCTCTTTAAATTAGCATTAAATATCTACTTATTAAGTACCTACCAAAGGACTTGGTAGTCTCATAATCCTTGCAATTATGCAGTATTACGAATTAATGACACATTTCTATTTTGTGGATATTTTTTATGATGTTATGGATGTTATCAATAAAGTTATTATTTGTAAAATTGTCTTATTTCGCAGCGTACATGCTTATTGTCTATTGCAGCCTTTCGCAACCTTTTTCAATGGCTGACTTCTAGCGTCACTTTACAATGATTCGCGGACCCCCAAAAAAAGAAACAAAACACTTTCAATAATCATACTTTTTCGTAGTGTTTGGGTTGATGTTGCTCAGTTCGATCCTCAAATCTGCCTCTACTTGTAGCCTATTTCTGTATTTATTTTTTACATACACAAGAGTGGAAAAACACTTTTCGCACAAATAAGTTGTGGGGAAAGGTAACAACTGCTTCAGCGCCAATTCCGATAACTCCTTACATTCAGATTTTAAATTTAGCCTAAAGTTTGTTGAAGTACATTCTTTGAATGTTATTTTTAAAGTTGAATCACGACTTATTTCAATTAATTTCCTGGGTAGATGTCAGGCCTATGAAGTCTGTAACATTTACATGAAATGGGTCCATAATCCAATTTTTACTGTGGTTTCGGCTTGGAAAGTAATCCCGAAATGAGGACTTCAGAGCTCGATGATTACTTCTTCAGTTTCCTTTTGCAACAGCCCGCTCACCAGTTGATAGCAAATATGACGAAAGAGTAGGAAAATGATCTTGAAGTGAATGATTTATCCATAAATCAAGTATTTTCGACATTGCTTCTAGGTACTTTTTCTTCAGCAATGATGATATTGATTTGTCCATCGATTTTCTCAAAAATTTTAGGAGTCGGAAAAATCTGAAAAAAATCTAGTAGACAATAACGGCCCTGATCGATCCAAAATCAGTTCCTCTCTTGTTCCTCCAGTTTCCGAAATTTTCGATTTTTTCCCTAATGGATGCATTATGGTACAAAAACCGACCGTCACGGTGTGTTCAGCGACCCCAGATGCATAGAGAACGGACTTTAAAAAGGCACTTTAATATTTGAATATTTTCATGCTATTAGAAATATTTCCAATCACTTCCAACCATTTTTCCGATCAGTGAAGTGAAACGTTCAATTATGTCGTTTCCATCTATCGTTAACTAACTACACTGGACAACGGAAGAATTCTTTAGTAGGTAGCCAACTGTAACAACCACACATTCACTGGAGAACTAATTGAACCTTTAACGTGTAGATGGCGCAGCATCCCATCTTTTTAAATATTTTTAGTAGTAATATATTACACTAGGAAAGATTTTTCCTCTCTAGAAAAGCACTTTAATTGTTTGACATCCATCGATTTTCTCAAAAATTGTAAACGTACAACTTATACATGTTGGAGTAAAAGTAAGTACCCATAACAAAGTGTCTCCTTTTCTGATTCATCAATATGTGCATTTGCAATCGTCTCTTAATATCTTCTCAATTTATCAAGTTTTCAAAGATAAACTGAATTTTGGTAATTATTTACTATAGCAAAAAATACCCAAATCGTCACAAAAATTTTCCTACCCCGCTTCTTTCAAGGGTTATTTTTGTGCGGTCGATCCTAATTTTCGAGAAAAAATATTTTCAAAATTGTAACCTGGACATTTCACAGAACACTACGCACGACACTGTATACTTATATAGTTTTCCGAACATCTGTTATCAACAATTAAAAACTTATTTTAGATAATTTTTGCTAATATTTCTAATTTAATTTGAAACTAATTAAAACATAGAAGCTGGAACCATATTTATAGAGCCCTATGCTGGAACTATGCTTGCTAATATGAATAATGTTTTTTAACAGCGTCTCTATTTACAACAAAAATTGCTTTTCAGATTATACTTTTTAAATAAATTCAAAATACGGAAACTACAGCCTGTCATAGATGTAAAAAAAATTCAGAAAACCGGTATTTTCTTATCTGGCATGGGGATCGTTTTAAATTATACTTATGAGGATTATTTTAATGTGTTTGTTATTTATGGAAAAAAGCAGCAGATTCTCTACATGTTCTTGAAATTACTTTGTCACATTTTCCATAGAGACCAAGGGACAGGTAACTAAGATCAACATGTAGCAGATAACTGCAAGCACTACATTCTCTGCACTGCATGTAACAGGTAATTGAAAATGAGATATTTTCCATCGACATAACGATACCGCCGGTTGGGTAACGTTGCACGCCTTCTTGCTTAAATTATTTAATGGATATAATTTAGAATTGAGCTTTTAACACCGGCGATTGTTATGAAACACATTGTTAGACCCATTTTCGTTCGTGGAATATTAATTTGTTGCATGGGTTCGTATCTCCCATTTTTCACCACCTTTCACCTAGAGAAAGGATTTTTAAATGTCAAAAATCGCTTTTGTCAGTTTGTATTATACACCTGACAAAATTAGAATGTTAAGTGTCCACTTAACACTGCCGCCATTTATTTCGTTCCTTCATTTCGTCTTCTGATTCTTTTGCAACACCTGCGAATTATGTTCTTGGTCCATTAATATCTCTTTATAACGTGCTTGTTATACGGGGCGTTTTGGAAAGAATGTACCTAATTCAATTTGTTCGATTGTATCCATAAATAAGATGTTTCCTACAAAATAATTTTTATTAAGCCTAGTATATTTTTTTTAACATTAATAAGAAGAATAAGAAAATAAGCTATTATTATACGGATTATTTCGGCAAAACTTTTTTATTGCACGATTTATCTTAGTGTCGATCTTAAATTTTTACAAAATAAAATTTTTGAGGCTCGATATTAACACAGACAAAATAGCTATCGCCCCAGACCGCTATTGGAATAGCCCAGCAGTTTTAAATTTCCGAATTGTCGATAGAGTACACCACCAGCAGAATTTTAGGAAGAATCAAATGCAGCGGCCCGCATTCCTACGCCTATCCTAGCAACATATAAACAACACTTTGGCAATACTGCCAGGCGTACTTACGGATTTATTTTATACACTTTTTTATCAATATCAACGAAGATTTATGCAGTTTCATATGATATTCTGCGGCGGTGTCACAGTTAGGTTGTTTAATCATAATTTCGTTAATTAGCTACTATTTTCATTTTTTGGTATTGAAATACTGCAGAAAATATATTTCCAAATAAACAAAATTCGTAATGATATTTTAAGCAGATAGTAATATAATTTTTTTTAATATTTGATAATGATGATAAATTTATTTAATATACAGGGTGGGTTATTAGTACGTCGTGGAATGTATGTACAGGTTTTTTTTCTATTTTGACATCCACTCATAGGTTTAATAATTAAAGATAGAAACAAAGTCACCGCTAGAATTGCCGCCTATTACCAAGTAGAAGAGTTACCACGCTAAATTTTATTGCCTTATGCCGGCTGACAAAAGCCTGCATCCTTTTCGAGTTGCCAATTTCCAGCATTTAACACGCAGTCTGTGGCGATAAGCTATATTGAATATGAATATGTCTGTGATATGAATATTTTTATTTTTGAAGTGTTCATGATGTAACGATAGAACACTACTGCTTAAAAAATAGAGAGGGCGATAAATAAAAAAAGCCATTAAAATATATTACCAATAAACATTTTATTTGCTGCTACATTAGCATGCGTAACATGTCCATATAAGTAATTATTACAGTTAAAGCAAATAAAGGAAGAGAAATCGTCCTCAGCCATTATTTTCGAATTATGCATTATTATAATATTTTCTGTTGTGATTTATTTAAAACGTTACCGGTTAATCAAAACGAAAGTTCCGATGTTCACAAGATAACGACCTCTCACCACCACTTAAAAAGCTTTATCAGTGTTTTTAGCAAGTCATATCGAAAATTAAATAAAGCATATAATTTGCACCTTAAAGTACATGTGAAGTACTTTGCGGTGCCTTCTACAACTCGTATCTAGATTATAATTTAATTACAGGCAATTTTAACGTCTTCCGGAAGTTGCGTCACGTATACGATGGAAGATAAGCGATGCTCTTTAATTTCTATAAGTGCGATAGGAGGATGAGGATAATACAAATTTAAATTTACAGCTTTCGAGCTACAAAGCGATTCTAAATTTTCTGCATATACGTAAAAGTAAGAAAAACGTTTATATGAACATCGCTTATACATATTCACGGGTATACAGGTTCGGAAAGTACCGATGGTTCATCTGCCGTTACGTGAGAGCGATAAAGTAAGTCATAGAAATCCGTGCGATAGAGAAAGATGGCTATAATCAAAGCGTCTAATAGTCACCGCCCATTTAGCTCTTCCACAAATAAGAAGTGGATCCTATTTGTGGAAGGGCGAAATGGGCGGCGACTATTAGACGCCTTCATTATAGCCATCTTTCTCTATCGCACGGATTTCTATGTCTTACTTTATCGCTCTCACGTAACGGCAGATAGACCATCGGTAGTTTCCGAATCTCTATATACATATTTTTGTGGTTCTAAATCCTCAGGCTTCTATTGCTTTTCTGTACTGAATGTCTTGTATTTGTGCTATTTAATTTACAACACTGCCTATCCATTTCTGATGTGATGTTTCGGCTTAGCTGAAATGCAACAAAAATACTCTGGGAAGTGTGACAGTGCGGTTATATATCAATTGAACGCGAACAGTTAATTATTTTAATCTAATAATAATTGCCCAGTTGAATATGGAGAGTCGAGAAATTGGCGGTAACCTTATGTAAACCAATTAAGTAAAAGTGAATTCCTTAATAATTATTTACATTCAAAGAAAAAATTAAGCATAATCGTAATAATTACATAGTGTTACAGATTATATTACTTAATATTTTGAGCACGTTCGCAGGTAGTAGTAGTTTGGCCTTTTTTAAATTATGCATATAATGTATAAGTGAAACATTAAAGATCAATCAGAACAATTATTATGTGCCATATGTTGCAAAACCGAACTAATTATATGTTTCCAATAACGAATATAGAGAATTACTTTTAATTATCTAAATAGACAAGGTTTTCTTTCAATCTAATTATAAATGTCTTCAAAAGGTCTACGAACATTTAAAAGCTTTGATTAGTTTTAAATCAAAAAGTGAAAATTATGGTTTGTAATTAAATTTATTATTTCC